CAGATTCATGTCCCCCACCCCCCAGACCTGCCCCCCGCAGGGCAAACTCATGTCCCCCACCCCTCAGACCTGCCCCCCGCAGGGCAGACCCATATCCTCCGCCCCACACCACCAGACCTGCCCCCGGCAGGGCAGACCCGTGTCCCCCACCCCCCAGACCCGCCTGCGGGAGGCAGGGCAGACCCGTGTCCCCCACTATGCAGGGGCGTGGGGTGTACACGTGTGACATCGGTGCACTATGCAGGAGTGTGGGTGTACACGTGTGCACAGTGTGGTATACTGTGTAGGTGTGCTCACGTGTGCACATTGGGATGTACTCCGTGGGTGTGTGCACACCCATGCATATTGGGTTGCTGTGCCTGTGGGGTACACGTGTGCACGTGTGTGCTGAGTGTGTGTACAGGGTGTGACGGAGGCAGACAGGAGGGCTGAGGGGAGGCAGGGAGCGGCCAGCAGCCTGGTGCCGCCCTGGCCAGCTGGGTGCAGAGGTGTGGGGCACCTCTCCTGCCCTGCAAGGGTCCCAGGCAGGGCTGGGGCGCGACGCAGCTGTGATGGTCAGGACCGTGAGCGGGAAGAGGGGCTCTCGATTCTGACCACTCTTCCCGCGAGGCCTGAGAGGGTCACCATCCCCGTGTGTGCCCCGTGGGTGTGGATGTGAGCCGGGGCCTCGCTGCCCTGCGTGTGGCCCGTGGGTGTGCGGCCATGTGAGCCGGGCCTCGCTGTCCTGCGTGTGGCCCGTGGGTGTGGATGTGAGCCGGGCCTCGCTGCCCTGCGAGTGCCCCGTGGGTGCGGCCATGTGAGCCGGGCCTCGCTGTCCTGCGTGTGGCCCGTGGGTGTGGATGTGAGCCGGGGCCTCGCTGCCCTGCGTGTGCCCCGTGGGTGTGGATGTGAGCCGGGGCCTCGCTGCCCGGCGTGTGCCCCGTGGGCGTGCGGCCATGTGAGCCAGGCCTCACCTTTGAGGTAGCTGCGAGGTTGCAAGCAGAGCCTCCCCGGCCTGTCACCCACCTGGGGACAGAGAGCAAGGTCTGGGCGCCAGAGGGGCGCTGGGGCATGGGCAGCGGCGGAGAGGGGCAGAGCGGGGTCCAGGCGGAGCGGGGTCCGGGAGGAGACCGGGGTCCTTAGCTGCCCATCCCTGCCCAACACTGGACGCTGCCTCACCGTAGCCTTTGACCTGGTGGCTTTCTTCCCACCAGGGCGCATTCCAAGAACCGATGTCTGGAGCTCGGGACCCCTAAGCCAGTCCCTCCAGCCCACGATGCCCACCCGACACCAGGCCACACCCAGCCGCGTAGCCAGGGTGCTGGGGGTCCTCCTGATCCTGGACGCAGCCAGGAGTGCACAGAACGAACGTAGGTCCACAGCCCACGCTTCCCACACCAACCTGAGTGCAGAGCAAGTGGAGATCCACTGCCCACGCTGCACACACCAACCTCAGTGCACAGAGCGAGTGTAGATCCACAGCCCACGCTGCACACGCCAACCTGAGTGCACAGAGCGAGTGTAGATCCACAGCCCACGCT